AAATTCCAGTGAAATATATTTATGTTTGTGGTTGTAATGTGACAAAATATGGAAAAGTTCAAGGGGTATGAATACTTTTGCAAACCACTGTATATATAACCATCTCCTTCGTCTTGCTGGCATTGATTTGGAGAGCTGAGCAGCTCCTTCAGTCAGAGACTTAAACATCCTCGCTGCAGGATGGAGCGCTTCCATAGGTCATTCATTCCAACTGCAGTTAGACTGTATAACACATCATGATGTTATCAGTCACTTGGACAATTCACCTACACTGACATCACTAATATGCACCTTCATATACATTCATATATTTACTGTACTAGGTATTTGTACATTGTTATATATCACGAGTATAGTGTTTTTTTGTTTTCCTTTAACTTATCTTTCTTTATTCTATCTCACCCTGTCCTGTTTTGAGCTGCTGTAATGTGCAAATTTCCCCACTGTGGGATCAATAAAGTTATATCTTATCTTATCTAAAGAAACCCAATAAGTCAGATTTCACTGCATTTCCAAAGTTTAAAAACCTGCCATCAGTGAAATGCCTAAAAGACTTTAAAACCTTTCCAAATGGCAGTCATAAAATATTTTTCTTCCTGGATGAAGAGAGACCATCTCCTTGTTCATTTGTCAGGACTACTTATACCTAAAAGCACACATTAGTGATGGTTCGGTGCATTAAAGCCAGATGTACTGTATAAACCAGGATCTTTAAAATGTGGAATTACAGCAGTAAATAAATCACTTGTTCAAATAAAATGTACAATTAACTGGTGAATGGCACCATTCTTAAGGTCAGTTACTTATAGTTTTGCTGCAGGTCCTACACAGATTCAGTCGGACCTTCTGCATAAAAATAGTTTGTCTCCACAATTCCTGAGCTATACCACCAGTGCAGGGTGTGAGCAACATCTGCATATCTTTACAAACCGTATATCAGGTGGCCTGGCTGCCAGATCTGCTCAGATTGAGTGCTGTTGATGGCTTTCACCACAATGGGATTTTGGCTGTTTTTTGGGAAGCATTTATCCTTATGTTTTTGAAATACTGTTTTCTAGCAATCAAAATTGTAAAGGTTTTTGCGATAGTTGCCTGGTGTTTGTTTTTGTAAACTCCTGTTTTGTGTTTGATAAGTTTTCTCTTTGAAATGCCAATCTTCCCTTGTATGCTTTGAGGTTTGTTTTCTGTGTTTTTAATCTACCCTGTTAAGTTAGTGTTTGACATTTTTTAAATTTACATAAGCATCATTACTTATATWTACTGTTTAGTTCTTGTCTCCTGGTTTGTTGGGTTTTGCTTGTGTTGCATTTGCTTCATGTTCACACATGGTTCCAGTTGACTTCATTTGCTTATTTGTGCCCCATCTCCATATTTGTTGTGTCCAGGTTTTTTATGCCAATTTCATAAAGTTTGTATTACATTTAGAGTCTATGTTCTTGAATTTAGTTTGCCTGTTTAAAATTGTTTTATACTTTATCTTTTGTTAAATCCCTTACAATTAGGCTTCTATCACACTGAATGACAAACCTGTCATGTCATTAAAACACACACAATCTGGATATTCTTAGTGTTATAAGAAAGTGCAGATTATAAATGCAGTTGGCTTTCCATTCTGCATTCTGATGCCTATTAGGACCAGGGATTTTAGAATACACAAAACATTCCAAGTGAGGTTGTGATGGTTTATCGTGGTGTTTCTGGGTCCTAGGTGAAGCAAGGAGACATTTCTGACAGCTTCATTCCTGACAAGTTTGACGCTTGGCCACTGAATTTTAAAATAGAACTGGTAGTGTTTACACTATGAACAGGATCGTAACAAGGTGATGGAAAAACAGCTTTAACGCCATCATTTCTCTTCATAATTTCATCTTATAAAGTCTTTAACCAAAACCCAATTAGTACCATTTGGGAGTAAAATACTGTACATTGTCCAATAATCTGTGCATTCATAATACATCATAAAACCAAATGTTCATAAGTAATTAGAATTTTCTGAAATGGAAGATGTAATATATAACAGAACATTGATTTGATTGATAGCATCAAAGATCTAAACACAGGTCAGATGTCATAAAGMTAAAGCAATAACAAAATAATGAATTGTCTCCAGGCAACACTTGGTAAGGTCAAAGATAACTYATCACCAGCGATTAGCAACCTTACAGTGTGTGAAGGCTTTGAAGATAGTAAATGGGTTAGAGCAATGATGTAAAAGATTAATCACACTGTTTTTAACAAATGTGCTACACTTGAAATTAAATTTGAAAATAGTAAGAACTTGTTAAAAATATATGCAGCATTCGATTCCTTTGGAAAAAGAATACTCAGTTTCAATATTTGATCTGCTTTCTGTACAGTCACTGCATATATGACCTAAATACACTACTGGTTTAAACATTTTAGAACACCCTCATTTTCCCTTTTTTATTGAAGTTTAAGCAGCCCAAGTCCAATTAAAAACTTGAAAGGGTAAAAAGGTAAGTGCTGAACTGCCAGAGGTTTTAAAAGATGTAAGGTTACTCAAAACTGAAAGTCAAGRTGTCTGAGAGTCCAGTTTTCTTCACCTGTGCATGCATGGCTGCCTGTGGCACTGGGTCACTAGTGTTTAATGATGTGACACAGGACAGAAGCACCCGGATGAATTCTGAGGTATTCAGAGACATGCTGCGTGCTCCAATCCATCCTATTGTTTGTATTTAGAAATACAGATGGACAATGACCCTAAACATAAAGCCAAAGCAACTCAGGAGTTTATGAAAGCAAAGAAGTGGAATATTGATGTTCATGAGTTCAAGACTTCAGGTAGTCATTGCCAACGAAGGGCTTTCAACCAAGAATTAGAAACATTTTTTAGTTATTTTATTCAATTACTTTTGAGCATCTGAAATGAAGAGATTGTGAATAGAAAATGCTTTAGTTTCTCACATTTTTATGCAATCATTTTATTCAACCCACTTAATTAAAGGTGAGAGTCTGAACTTCAACTGCATCTAATATGGTTTGTTCAAAATTCACTGTGGTGATGTACAGAACTAAAATTAGAAAAATGTTGTCTCTGTCCAAATAGATAGACCTACTGTGATGTGTTGCTGATATTTTGCAAAGAATCTCAACAGTTTTTGGAAATGACTTTTTACATTTTTCATGTTTACAAGTCCCCTCGTCCTTTGGCATTTTCTTCACTGCGGTCTGTTTAGCTTTTAGGCATCTTGAGGCTGTGCTATTTTTAGCTCAAGCCATTTTGCTCTGAGCTCATCATAACCGAGGTGAGTGTGAGATTTTCTGCTGTTTGCCAGGCCACTGAGCGCTGGCTCTCTCAGCAGGAAACTGTGGAGTGAATCATCATGTAACTGTTTTACATGTTATACAGTTAAATGGGATTCTTTTGATTGGAAAAGACCAGAAAAATACAAAAGCAGCTGTAAAAGTAGAAACATTGCTAAAGAGACTTTGAATTAAAAATAATCAGATCAGATATTGTACAGAGAATAAAGAGAGAAAACAACATACCAAATTCTCTGGACGGTTTCAAAAATGGTCAAAAAGCTTTGTGTGTGTGCTCATACCAATGGAACCACATCCAATCACACCCACTTTGGGTTTTAAAACTGGTTTCTGTAAAGAATCKGTTTATTTTGCTTTGGAAATTTCTAAGCAACTGGGATAATGTTGCTGTCAAAATGTTGAAAACAAATTTGTTCTATCATGGTAATTTCATAAATCATCAAAGAAATCTTATTGCTGAAGCCACAGATATCTTTGGTGTTTGTAGATGTACCAGCTGGTATTTTGGTGAAACATATCAAATTAGACTTAACTGTTGTGTTCTTAAGTTTATACTAAATTCATGTGTTTTAACGTTCGGTGACTGGTTTTAGTCTTTGTCACCAGAAGGCGTTGCTGTGACAGCTTAGGGCAGAAAAAATTGTGTTAGTACAGAGAGAGACATGGGATCTGGTAATATAGTGTGTCAGCATTTACTGGAATAGCGTTCATTAGTTTAAACTGTCCTCTCCTATTTAATTACAACTGCAACAACAACCACAGTACTAAAAAAAGTAATTTCAGCATGATTTAGGAATTACTGTATAGTTTCCATCCCTGGCAAGATGCCATCCATGCTTTGCGGTATCAGCAGTAAAGGCCCTGTCAGGCTATAATGTTTTAGACATCTTGTGCTGACTTATGACAATTTTGTTATGACTTTAWTACTCATATTGGTTATATATTTAATCTAATTGTTAGCATTATATTATTTATGAGTCCAAAAGAGACTTCCAGCATAGACACAATCAAAAAATTTCACAAGTTGGCATAAGTTGTCTAAAACATTAGTGTGACAGGGCCTTTAAATCTTATTTTAGTGGATCAGAGCTTTTCCACATTTTTAATTTTAACTAACTAACTAACTAAATATTTTATATATATATAGTACAAGCAAAATTACAGATTTTGACTTAAAATGCTCCTCTTACTGTCAGTTTTAGTGTGAACCAGACTTAAATGTCAGTCTTTAATAAGAGATGAGGGAGGACATAAGCATATTACATGGCTGGTGATCTACCTCATCCTCCTTGTAGAACAAAGCTTCAGTCAGAAACGGTTTGAATTCTAAGTCTCTGTTATTTTGCAACTCAGAAGCTGTAAAGTTTGGAAACTTCTTATTCAAAAGACAAATGTCAACAAAAAGAAAACCACTAAAACAAATATCTCCCTGGGCTAGTATTTGATAGGATGTGATGAAAGAGTTTGGAAGTTAGACAATATAACCTTGAAGATTTTGTTTTTTGCTTCATAAGAACACGGATTGAACCAAAACAGCAGAGCAAAGATAAAGGATCAGAGCTTTTCCACAATACCAGCTGGTAAAATTCAACTTTGATGTGTCAGAAAAATCAAACAGTTTTAGGTGATGTCCAGAGATTTGGCAAAGCTACAGATCAAAATCACTTTGAAGGTTATTTGCCTTTTATTTCTGAAACAATGAACCCAGTTGAGACCCTGCAGCCAGTGCAGGAATGTTTGAAGACACTCCTTTATATAGCAAGACTCCTCATCCTCATCATCAGTCTCCTGGAGTAACAAGGGGCATGTGTTAGGTGGGATATGAAAAAATGAAAAATATATACAGTAGTTTATTTTTATAGTACTAATTCTTAACAAAAATCATCTCAAAGCACTATACAAAAGAAGTCTATAAATCATAAATCCAATTCAGATCTAGATTCAGATCCAAATATTGTCACCTCATTTTATTTGTACTGCAATGCATTCACATATAGTACATTATGAAATGCCCATTAGAAGAAGTGTGTGAATGTGTGTGTGCATGGGTGAATGTCTGCAGTGTAAAGCGCTTTGAGTATCCTGGATGGATAGAAAGGCGCTATATAAGTACAGTCCAAGTTTTCTAATGAAGCTAGCAGACTGTCAAATCTAAGTTTCAATGCAATCCCCCATCCKGAGCAGCACATGGTTGACAGTGGAAATGAACGACTCCCTTTTATTAACAGAATGAAACCTCCAACAGAACAGGAAGCAGGACGGATGTCCATCTGCCTCGACTGGCTGTCCAGTAGGGGTGTAAATCACCAGCTTTATCACCATACGATATTACATCGATAAGTTTGGATGACGATTTGATATTTCTCGATATCACAAAGTCTGTCACGGTAGGATTTCAATTCCATTCACGTCTGCTATCGATATAATGCAATATCATGTTTATCTAACACAATGACTGTGTTAGATGGGCAGATGATATCGATTCACATCGAGCATATGATGAAGACGTAGATCGATATTTTAATTTTGCCTCGATGTAACTGAATCATGAACTATTCAAATCGATATATTGATATAGATCGATGTATCGTTACACCCCTACTGTCCAGAGGAAGTATTTTGGCATTTGTAAACTTGTGTGCCAATGACTAGTTTTGGGTTAAATCCAGGTAGTGGAGGTCAGACTTAATAATTAGTTGCATTTAAACAGCATCACCTGGATGCTTTGTACACTAATAATTTTCGTTGTTTGGGTTGGGTTTTCGTCAGTTTGGGTTGATACAGTTTTGAAACATATGTTTGCTGTTTGTTTTGCATCTTGTTAAAAAAAAGAAACATAGTCATTTTCCATCCGAGATTGTATTTATCTCACTTTGGAGGCACAAGGGTCAGATATTTTTATATTCTGACAAGTAAACTGGGCTCTGCGTGTACACAACAATACACTGTGCTTTGACTAACCTGTGAGGCGATGTACTTCTCCAGAGGACTCTCCACTCGGCCCATGTTCAACATGGCTGTGTTGGGCTGCTGCTCAGCTGGCAACTCTTCACTTAGCAGTAACTTGCCTTTGAAGTTATGGACCACACTCACCACCTAATGAAACAATTATGACACTGTGATGAATGATAAAGGACCAACAGAGATTCCTGAGCTATTTTAGAGCCCAATTCAGATGTTTAGTTCAGACACTGTATTGATTTTTTTTTCCTACAGGAGCTGTAGCTATGATGGATGTACTGTAACTGTTTAATGTGCTCCTCCAATAATGCTGAAAGTGTAGCTGTACTACTGGGAAAATAATACAAGAGATCTGAACTATTGGGTTCAGTACAGGGAGAATGAAATCCCTCCATCATGGGTGGTTATGGAAGGAAATTCACTTTAGAAATGATAAATAAAAAGAATGTTTGGTAAAATCATGTTACCACATGGAAAAGGCCTGAATGCTTTGAGACAAACTTGATGAAACTTCTTTGATAATCAAGTTCTAGTTTCGTCATGAAGCAGCTGACAGATCACTTTGCCAGAATAGTCCTTTTTTATACTTAATTTTAAAGATTTCTTACCAAAATATACACTGAGTGAGACTCACCAGAAAAGAGGCAATGCCCATCCCAATGATGAAGCCAGCAATGACATCTGCCCAGTGGTTGCGATATTCAGCCACACGATTCAAACCAGTGAGAAAAGCCATACACATGAAGCCCAGAGACATGACTGGCTTGATCAGACGAGTGCCCTTAGACTGAATTGTGCACGTCACATACATCTGCAAGGAAAAATACAACTTTGAATCAGTAAAAAAGCCTATCATACAAAATCACTAAATTGTAGTAATAGTCTACCATGTCTCGTCTTCTCCCGTATTTTTTTTAATGGCTTTGAAGTCTTATTTGAATTTTTAGACTGTTAGATCCAGCAAGATTTAAATCAGGATTACTTTTTTGTTTTTATGCACTAGAATCTCACTTTAACCAAAGTTATTCTTTAGTTTATTTTGAACTTGCACACTTCAGGGCAGGTTAACAGCCTGTCATGTTGAAGGAGAGGCTGATATTTTAAGTTATTTGTACATTAGCTGTTTAGGAAACTACTTGCAGTTTAATTTTTTTTTCTTATGATCAGATGTAATAACGTTAAAAATACATCTGATTAACCTAAGCTTAAGTTTTATGGGCCATTTTAATTTGCTAGGGGAAGTTACGTTAAGGTAGAAAACTGGATAACAGGGTGACATTCTCAGGTGTGAGCAGGTAAGAAGAGATGTGTACTGGAGCTGGAACAGGAGCTGTGCCCACAGATCACATGACAGAAATTATTTGACCAATCGAAAAAAAATTAGACAAGATTAGTCGACTGTCAAAATAGTCATTAGTTGCAGCCCTAGTTTGCTGCTGTGCATTATGGGTAAACATTTGTACTTAAGTCTGGGTTCATTCTAGAGTGTTGTGTTTTATTCAGATGAAACTTTCCAAGCTTATATGCACCATGTTCTTTGTAGAAAGACAAACTTTTTTTTTCTTGCAACCCTTCCAAACAAACCATACTGGAAGTCTTTGTCTTGATATGACCAAATTCTTTTTCCTAGTTCTTTATGCAGGTGCCTATACTACTTATCTAATATTTTTAGAATTTTTAACTGTAGCTTGTCATTGTTATTTTTTTCATTACAAGGTTCTTTCATAATTAAGTATTGCTTATTTAAACAAACAAATCCTCCAGGTCTTTCCGTGGTAATAAAAACTCCACCACCACAGCAGTTTAGCCTGCAGTCAGGTGTTTGACATTGGACTGGACCAACAACTCACAAAGTCCGAAAAATTGTTTTCTGGAAATAAAAGAGTTGGATTGAACAAGATTAGGGTGTAATACAGCATGTCTAGGTTTAGACTTGAATTGTGCAGTCAATAACAGATCAAAACCTTTGGAATGGTAACATTAAACTAGCTGAAATAAAGTGGAAAATATCAATCTTAAAAAGTATTTTCTGCCTGATGGACTCCAGTTGCAGATGCTTGATATATTTGTTTGACTGCTCAACCTTAGCCGGTGTACACTTCTAACACAACAGTGATTAATTTAGATTCAAACAGGACAACATTTTCCCACACACTCTTAATGAAAAGATTTGTTATCATACTTTATGCAAGTGGGATCAACAAAAATAAGAGCATTAGCTGTATCCTGAAAAACTGTGACTCGTGTATGTTAATAATAAATCTGGCCTTGATTTATAGCCAGAATAGTAAAATGTGTTAGAGGAGTGAAAGAGGAGCACAGAGACCCAAATACAACAGGGAGATTCCCCATGTTTTGCTCTAATCACTAATCTCATGTTGAGGCTGCAGATTGTCTACATGCACCTAAATGTGTTCTTCAGCTGAGAGCAAATTCTCTGAGACCAGATCAACCAACAATTATTCTTTCTTCAACTAATGTATTCCTCCACAATTTATATATATATTGCTTTTTTGTGACAAAAAAGATGGAAAATGATATGTTTGCATCTTATAGCTTTTAGGTGCTCAAGAACATAACATTGACGATCCATGGAACATTTCTTGTTGAATTATTATATCATAATACGTGCCTCTCTCCAGCAGGATAGACATAATTGTTTACATTATGGCATATCAATGGTCGCACCCCCCCCCCACCCCCACCCCCCAGGGGTGCGACCAGGATTTCACTAACCATTATGAGATCGTGTTAATCAGGGCCATTTTGTTTCAGACTCAGAGCCACACACACAGGCTCTGAGAGGGAAATGGAGTCTTTGAATCTGAAAATAAACTTTTAACTGAGAACTTAYTAGGTTTTCTGCATATTACTATACTATATTACATTACAATATTCATCCAATTTTGAACATTTTCTTACACTACGAAATACTGAGAAAATGGATGAAAACATGCAGCTTGTCAGGCTACTCTGATCTAATGCCAGTACATCCACAATGTTGCAGACTCAGTTATCCCAGTCCCCTGAACTCCCCTTACAGGKAAACACTTTGGAAATTTGTGCAGAGGTGCTGAAACTTGCAAAATATAAAAATAAATAAATAAATCTCTTATTTGATAATTTACCAAATAGAAATAATGTTAAGAATCCTACACAACCTAAAACAGAAAAACAGCTTTAATCTGATTTAATGTCAAGCAATRCAAAAAAACTTGTTATTTTCATACAGCAAAAATAAACATCTAGTTTCAACTATACATATCAGCCACCAAGAGGCTGAAGGCAAACCAACAGTTTACTAAATTATTCTGTCTAAAGTAAAACTTGAAAGCGAAAGCAGTGAAAACAAGTATGACAGATCCACTCACATTTTAAACTCGGAATTCATTCATCAGTGTACAATGCTTAATATAAAAATGAAAAAATAATGCTTACAGATATAAATTTATTTACTTAGAAAGCTGCCTAAATGAGCTATGCCAGTCTAATAAACTTACATGACCCAACATAATATTTGGACACACAGCATGTAGAATGAGAGTAATGAGAACTCACAGCTAGATAGAGTGCAGCATAAACACTGAGCGCAGCCTCTTTGGAGGGGAAGGTCTTGCGGGCCCGCAGGATGTCGTCCTGGTTTCCTGTGCATGCCTCCTGGTGGCTGATATACCTCAGGGCCTGTTGGCAGCCCAGTGCCGTAAAGTTTGGCTTACAGACCGTCAGGAAATAGGGCGCCAGGTTCCCTGTCACTACCTGCCCTGCATTGACAAAGATGTCTACAGTGAACAGGCCAAAGGTGTAGACTCCTGGAAAGAAAGAAACACAAAAAATGTCACATAAAACTGTAAWTCTAGAGTTTTTTATCTTGTCTTTTTTTCCCCCACAATCACAGCTCAGTCACTAGGTTTTTTGAGTCAAAGGGAAGGTAAAATTGTAATTCCTCCATTAAGGGGTGTTGCATGAAAAGTTTAAGAACCAGTGCATTAACTCAAACAGGCAGCTTCTTTGACTGAAAGGTTTTAACAGAAATAATTACTTCCTCTCCTGTGTCACAGTGAATCACCAAACAGGTGCTCAGCCAGCCAAGTTTGTGAAGGAACTTCACCCTACAACAGTCACTCAGACTTCCAGGAGGTGGGATTTGTCAAGGCAGCTTTTCAAGTCCTGTTTGGACTCCTGCAGTCGAAATAAAACAGGCTTTTTAAAGACACGGACGTGGAAATGTGAGCGCTCCCACCCCCACAGCCCCATCCTGACTAGCTTTGGGAACCCAGAGACAAAGATGAGCAAAATTGCTTAGTAGGGCATGAATCTAAGTCAGTTTGTCTGCTTTGAACAACAAATGGCTGCAGAGCTGCAGTGGAGCCATGCATGTCTTTGGTCTTAGTCGTCTAGTGCGAGCAGTCTCCTTGGGTATCTTTGACCCTCTTGTCATACTGAATGCATATGTTTGAGTTTTTTTGTTTTGTTTTGTTTTGTTTCTGGTGGGTGGAGGGCAGTGGTGATTTGTTCAGTATACATATCCTTTGATCTAATGCCAGTACATCCACAGCGCTGCAGACTCAAAGTCATCCCAGTCCCCTGAACTCCCCTTACAGGCAACATTTAGGAATATTAGAGCAGAGGTGTTGAATACAACGTGACACAGTGTGAAAGTCCTAATCCATATTTTATGGAACATGTGCATCTGATGTCCCCCCCCCACCCCACACCCACCCCGTAGCACTCAGACTGTGGAATTCATGCTTAAAGAACAAAGCACCATCAGTGGAGGAGGACAAGATTTCAAAAATCTGCTGTCTCCACAAAACCAATCTGTATTTCACAGTCATGCTACTATTATCTTTACACAGAATAACTAGGAATTAAAAGGCTGCCATTCCTTGAAGGAATGCATATCACCCACCTCCTTTTATTACAGAGGTTTCTCATTTATGTTGATAAATGGGTTATAGCCGTTTTTATCAAACCTTGAAAATATCACGCATAGTCTCATGATATCACGTCACACTCATGTATTATGTGTGTTGTGAATGACTCGGTTACTACCATATCAAATAATCGTCCTGATGCATCTCAGTAATCCAGGTAAAAAATCAAAAGGAAAAAAAATTGTATAGGTCCTCTGGACGGGTTCTTCTTTAATGAAACGTTTCGTCTCTCTTCCAAGAGACTTCTTCAGTCTGAGAGTTTCAGGAAAAATTCAGGCTTTTGAGTCCTGCCTCCAGGTGACTGATACTCACATCACATGGCTATCGTTCACACCTAATTAATACCTATTAATGAAGAATGAAGACCCCAAACCCAGACCCAAACCAGTGGTTATTCCGTATGTTGCGGGTGTTTCGGAGAAACTGAGACGTTTATTTTCTAAACATGATGTCCCAGTAGCTTTCAAACCCCAAAACACATTACGGCAAAGGCTGGTTCACCCCAAAGATCCGGTGCCCCGGCACAAACAGAGCAATGTTGTATATGCTGTTAAGTGCCAGGAGGACTGCGACCAGTTATACATCAGGGAAACAAAGCAACCACTGTTCAAAAGAATGTCCCAACACAGACGAGCTACATCTAATGGCCAGAACTCTGCAGTTTTCACTCATTTACAGGCCAGCGGTCACTCTTTCAGAGATGAGGATGTTCTCATTCTTGATAGGGAGGAACGTTGGTTTGAGAGAGGAGTAAAAGAAGCCATTTTTGTGAAGAAAGACCGTCCATCATTRAACAGAGGTGGAGGCCTCCGTTTTCAGTTGTCCCCCTCCTACAGCGCTGCCATTGGCAGTATCTCTCCACCCCCTGTTAACAATAGGTATTAATTAGGTGTGAACGATAGCCATGTGATGTGAGTATCAGTCACCTGGAGGCAGGACTCAAAAGCCTGAATTTTGCCTGAAACTCTCAGACTGAAGAAGTCTCTTGGAAGAGAGACGAAACGTTTCATTAAAGAAGAACCCGTCCAGARGACCTATACAATTTTTTTTCCTTTTGATATCAAATAATCATTACAGTGTTAGGAATTAGCTGTGGAAGCCATCTAGAATTATTTTTGTTTTCTGAAAGTTAATTAGCTGTAGACGTTCTTACAATGTTATTTCAGTTTTCGTAAAATTTGTTAATTGATTCATGAGACACAAAATTGACTCCAAGGTACTGCTGATGTTTTAAGCAAGGATGTTGTGCAATTCGTAGTGCTTGGAGTATGTGCTCAAGATGACTCTCAACTACTACCACATTCTACTTCCTAAGACATGGACAAATACGAGGTTCTGAAAGTATAACATTGAACCACCAGATTCATGGTAAAACAATAAATAAATAAAACAGCATCACAAAATTTGTTTAGAAATCATTTTAAAAACAGAAATAATGCATTGCCTATGTGCTATTGCATTAAGTTACAGATACAGTAGCATATTAGTACTTAATGTATTTAATTATAGTAATTTTAATGTACATAATATTTGCCATTACCATTCATTACCAGTATTATGAGTTAAACAGCTAATGAGATAAAAGAGACAAAGCCTGTTTGTTAATGAGAAGTACGTTACAAATTAAATTAATTATTATTGCTGAATCTGGCAAGATAAGATTGCTCATAACCACTAATTTCCCATCACAAGATGATTTTAGTTTAAAACTCTGGCATGAAAGATGGCAGGTGATAGACATGGCATCAAGGAATGCAAGTGGTTTTTTTCTGCACCAGCTCTCTGAGTCACCTGTGGGTGTAAACTAACTGCATATGTCACCTCTGAGTACCGGCAGAATGTTGTGGAGGTTATTTCTGTATGGATAAATACTGCAAAAGGGACACACTTTAATTTTTAAAGATACTCTAAGCTTTATATTACATGTAGGCACATTTGTTAGGAGAGTGGGCTGCACATGAATAAAAAAATAAAAGTCGTAGCATTACTTGATGAGATACATATGCCTCACTTTGATACCTTCTGGCCTCCCTCTGACTTCTGAATCTAGAAAGGCAGTGATGAGGATTGGAGCCAGCCCGCTCCTGATGAGCCTCTGTCTTGCAAAGCGAGATAGTAACAGAGGTATAATAGTCAACATGAGAAAAAAATAAGCCAGTGCCGAGGCTCAAAGTGATGAAGTGTTGATGGATGTTCTGTGTGATCAGCCAGTTGCATGATCAAACAACAGATTTATTACAAACAAAATCAATGATGACAAACAATATCTTTGTATTTTGTTAAAAAATTTGTAGAATTCAATCTAAAATCTTTTTTTGATTTCAACTCAGTGACTACTTTCTAAAAATGTACTTAAAATCCTAAAACTAAGTAATTCATGAGATATTCTGCTTATCAGTGGCGGATGCTTGTCTTTCAAGGAAGGGAAGCTCAATTTCGGCCTACATCATGAAATCATATAACTGTCTGACATTATGTGCAGCTTGCTACCTAGCTAGCTCGCTAGCTGGGGCTGGCACGAGGCTAGTGTGAAGTGTGCCTGCCTGTGAGTGCTTTGTGATGGTGGAGGGGATCAGCAGCACCTGCTGGACAGAAACTGCAATAGAAGCAGAAAGAGTGATAGAAGTCAGTCTCCAAACACAAGCAGCTACAAAAAAACCCACCAGAAATTTAAAAATATATATATATACAGTATATAATTTAAATTAAAAACTGCTCCCACGGATGTTTACACCAAAAAAATTGCTGATTCGCTCATTTCGCTGGGATTCAGCCTCCGAAAGATCATCCAATCATCACGCAGAAGCTGAGCGTCCAGGCCAGCAGCGACCAGCCCACTGCCCCACAGACCCCCAGAGACGCCGAGCTTCCGATGGGCAGGACAATTAAGCCCAGCATTTATCCAATGTCTCGTTTAGCTGCACTCTTTGCTTAGCTATTAAACTCTGTGGACGCTCAGCGTCCGCACTGTTTAGAGCACTGTGTACGGAAGCAATTAAGTAAAAATATTCTAATTAAAATGGATTAATAGAAATACTTTTTCATTATCAACATAAACCTGCATTTTGTGACTCATAAATAAAATCATAACTGTGAAGCTRCGGGAATGAATGAGAGGAAAGCCACGTTGTTACCAATGATAAGAAGCTGATTTTGAACACAAGTTGAGCGCTTTGTAGTGCATATTTAGTCAGTKACATGTACACACAACAGTATATATTTGATCACTTATTTTTTGGATATTTTGGGGGAAGCTGAGCTTCCCTTGCAGTCTAAGAGTAATCACCTCTGCTGCGTATGGTACAGACAAAACACACAAGTATGTATTTCTATCCTAATTAGAACAATTCATTGACTTCCATTTTTTTCGGTTGTTTCTATTGCCTAACTCTGATCCCTTGCACTAAACCTACCCCCCCCGTGCATACCTAACCTGAACTCAATTCACACTTTAGTCCTAAACCTAACCCCCAACCCAAAAATGGAGTTCCATCGTATTAGGACCAAGCTTTGGTTACCTTAAGTACCACTGGTTTAGACAAGGTAGATGTGTACATCAGAAAGAGTCATAAAAAGGTAACAAATACAAGAACACACATGGGCAAAATCATTGTCGCTCTACCTTTCCTTTTGGGTGTTAAAAATCAAACTGAAATGCAACAGACAGAGCTTCAAAATACTAAAAGATAATAAAACACAGAGTGTGTGAGAACACCACGACCCTCGGCTGAGTTCTAAATTTAATCTTTCGCCACCAGCACCACCCCTGTGAGTCATTATGCAGAGTTACGCCAGGCATGAATGAGAGGAGAATGTGGTGGAGCCAAGAGAAGGACCAGCTCACATCATCATGTTGCTCCAAATGATGTGCAAATGTGCAAATATACACACTGACACACACAAACAGAACCTCTCCAGCACACATGAACAAGTGAATGGTGGAAGCCTTGTGTGAACACTGGAGCATTCTGAAATTAGCAAAGACAGGATTTTCTTTTGCCCTTAAAGAAATTATTCAGGAACAATGGGGCCTTTTCTATGGAAGCTGTAGGACACAAAGGAGCATTCTGCGTGAAATGTTACGACTTTTCAGTGATGTCACTCTTGTTTTATGCTTTAACCTAAATAAGAAAATATGGACTCAAAAAAGGGACTATAAGCATAAACGTGGACTGCTGGATGAGGGTAAAACCAGAGCATAAATGGACTGCAGCTGATGAATAGAGTGGAGACACCTGGGCAAAATGACTAAAGGGGACATTTTTATGACTTAAAGACAAAGCACACTACATCTGAAGCAGCAAAAACAGCTCTCACTGATGTAGTAGTTTGACGAAAATCACAAGATTTTGTTCGTAGAGTGGCTTTGCCAGGCCCTTCTTGACGAGGCCTGGGCGGAAATGTTTTTCACAAGCAAATACAAGTATTGTGTGATTGGTCAGAAGTTTGTTGGCATGTTTGTTTATGCAGAAAAGCTCTCACACATTGCTTCAACTTTGGCTTCAACTGCTCCGCTTCCACAAGCCAGCTGTTGTGCATCCAAACAACAGGGATAGTTTTGAGGAGCAGTTGTCTGAAGCAGTCAGTATGCATCTATAGGACTCTTCCAGACAGTCACATGGTCAAAAACTCACAGATGGAGCGAGCACAAATATTGTGCATGGAGGAATTTGTTTGCTGTAAAGTGGGACTCTATCTGTGACAGATTTGTGGCCATTAGGTGGATATCTGAKTGGAAACTCAAATGGGAAATAACCTGTGCTGTGATGTGAACAACAGAAGGTGGTGTTTCCAAGGAGCTCTGAACCGTGTGTCTCATGAACCATGAATGGTGTGTGTGAAAATGAACATGTCACAACAATGTGACCATATGTCAACTGTTCAGCTTTGGATAGAGTATACTTGRCTCTTTGGTGCTCCTAACTTCAAGTTTATTGTAATATGACTGCTTAATTCTCCATGATGAACATGTTCCTGTGTATTAGAGTAAACTCACTATAATCCCAAATCCTCCCACTTTGGAACTCTCRCTGCTTTAAGGTTAACGCAAAAAACTGCGGCTAAGGYCATAAAATTGCAAAGAAAAAAGCAACTGCAACCGTCCTTCAACAAGACATAATCCTGAAAGTAATAAAATAGTGCACGAGTGTATAACACATGATACACTCATTTTGAAAAGTATCTTGTGGACAAAAGCAGCTTTATTCTGAAATGAAAGCCTCTGTAGCATTAATGAGACATGTGAATAGTCTGCTCGTTGTAAAAATGTGGGGGTAAAGCTGGGCCACCAAGTGGATTTCTCCTCAGGGGTCAAATCTTCTTCTGCACTCATTTAAACATGACACACTGCAGGACAAGAACAAGCCAGAGGTCYCCCATTATGTTTGTCTGACTGAGTCAAACTGCATTTGTTTCCTGTGGATGTTTCACTGTGATGTTTCTTAAACTCTGTAGACCTTTCAACTGAGTAAAAATATTTTCTCATATCATCTCTATCATCATCATCATCATTTATAGTAATATAAGATCAAGTATACTTAAGGATAATCAGACAAATGGATTACAGCCTCTCAAATGACAAATGTTCTCACACTTACACAAAAATGTCATATCTGTTGGTATTAAAGTGCTCATCTCTAAACTAGGGCTATGCATCTCTGGTCTCTAGTCACATATCTTCATACACTGCAAACAATTCAATTCACTCAAAGTACAYGAGGAGCAAAAAGTTATAGAATGCAATTTGATTCAGCCATTAATCATGATACAGTGCAATTAAATATTAGTTTGATTTAACCAGAGGTTTATAGCAACTAAGTACATTTACTTCCTAATAAAGTAAATGTACTAAGTAATTTTCTTTTAATGAAAATATGGATATCGCACAATTTACTCAACTTGGTTTAGTGGAACCAGTTTGGTTATGTAAATTTAACAGTTTATTTCTTAGAGAGTGTGTAAAAGTACTTTTACTGTCTCGATTTTTGTGAAYAGTTTTATGACTTTTACTTAAGTACTTTTCTCATCAGTGAAATTAACTTTTACCAAAGTCATTTTCTGTTAAAATAATTTTACTTTCACTTCTTTATAGACCTATGGATTCAACAAGCTGAGATTTCAATGCAATACAACAAAACAAGTGAATTCTGTTTCAGTTATTGTTATTGAGATGAATTATAYATTATGTGATAAAAATGACCACTCAAACATGTCTTCTTTTGAAATTACAAAACAATTTTTTAAAACCTGACTCACAATAAACAATACACAAAATTAGGCCTTGTGCAAAATGAACAAACATGCCAGCAGCAGCAGAGGAGTTACAAAAAAGTGCCAAACAACAGCAATGAGTAAAAATATATTATCTATATTAGAAATAAAACATTTATTAACATTTTATTATATTTTTTTTTAACTTTTAATTTCCATTAATCAGGGTGGGAAACACTTTCAGTTTGTTCCCATTTATACCAGTGCTGATGCAGTTCTTCTGCAGCATGAGTCAGGTCAACTCTGTGGTCTTCTGTTTTTCAGCTGAGACGTTTGTCAAAAATCAAACCTTTTCTGTCTAGGCAACATTTAGAGACAGCAATCCATGCTTTTATCACCTCACGTCTGGATTACTGTAACTCTTTTGATTGAAATTAGCCAGGCTTCTCTCTCACGTTYGCAGCTGGTGCAAAATGCTGCTKCAYGATTTTTAACTGGCGTAGGTAAACGAYAGCATATAACACCAGTTTTGGCTTCACTTCATTGGCTACCTGTTCAGCTTTGAATCCATTTTAAAGTTATTTTGTTTGTTTTTAAGTCTCTTARTGGTCTTCGCCCTTCTTATTTGACTGAACTGCTTCACCTGTATATACCATCACGTGTTCTTAGCTCATCTGACCAGAACCTTTTAGTAATCCCAAATACCCTTTACAAATCCAGAGGAGACAGAGCTTTTGCAGCTCTGGCTCCTAAATTGTGGAATGAGCTGCCGCTGAAGGTCAGGCAGGCCCCAAATCTTTCTGTTTTGAAAACTCACTTAAAAACACATTTCTTCTCTTTGGCTTTTAACCCAGAGTGATTTAGCATCTGTGTCTTAATACTGTGCTCTTTTTTGGTATCTGTGATCTTTGTATTGTTGTTTTTTTATTTGGTGTTTTATTTTATACATTTGTACAGCACTTCGGTCAGCTGCTATGTTGTTTTGTAAGTGCTTTAGAAATAAAGTGGTATGGTATGGTATGTATGAGTCTTAAATTAAAAAAAAAATAAAATTGTATCTCACACATACACATATATACACACACACACATACATTTAGTCCCAAAACTGCATCAGTACATAGCTGTTCTTATGTTGTTTGCATTTTAACATGCACATCTGTGAATCCTTACATTTCCRTTAATTTTACATTCCTACTGTAAACAAACATTTCCATTTTAGTGAACTTTTTCTAAAGGTGGTAGGGAAATGGCGTGTTTCTTTTTTCAGTGAATAACAAAAACTACACATGCCTGAGACTTACCAAGGAAGCGGAAGGTCCGTCGCACCAATGGGTTGAAGTAACAACAGTCTCCTGTGGCTACGGTCTTCTCTGACCGGTCAAACTCTTTGGATGTGTACTGGACCAGGAACAGCACGGTCTCAGTTATTGTAATCTAGTGGAAAACCAGAAGACRAAGAAAAAATACTCAGATAAGTGTTTTGTATAGAGAGTAGTTTGCAGCCTTGTTTTTTCACAGTCACATACTGTAGCTCATGACTGTGGGCTCCATCTGTACAGAAACAGCTGTGAAATACACAGAGGGATGGAAGTTACTCAGTAGTACTGAGATGTAARGGGTGGTCTACATAAGTACATGTGCTTTGGAATCTGGCCTGTTTTTCCATAAGCCCAGAATACATAACTATAGGCTGCACGGGCTGATCTGTAGATATTCATGTGCATCTTAAAAATAAGAATGATTTTCAAATTGTCAATTCAATTTATTTATTTAGCAACAGTTCACAAGACATTTCAAGACTCTATACAAAAGAAAAAAGACAAGTCAAAGTCAATCAATYCAAAAATACTTTATTGATCCCAGAGGGAAATTAGATGTAGTAACTCATTTCATTAAAAACTTATTGTAGATGCTGATGGCTGTGGCCAGGAAAGATCTTCTGTAGCGGTCTGTATTACAGCAAAATTGAAGAAGCCTCCAACTGAAAACACTCTGTTTTTCTATGACAGTCTGATGAAGAGGATGGTCAGGGTTGTCCACGATGTTCTTGATTTTATGTAAAATTCTTCTTTGCACCATCATCTCCAGAGATTACACAGTCGTCCCCAGAACAGAACCAGCCTTCTTTATCAGGTTGTTTAGCCTTTTTAGGTCCCTGGCTCTGAYGCTGCTGCCCCAACAGATGATGGCAGAAGAGATGATGCTCTCAACAACAGATTAAAAAAGATCTGCAGCATCTGAAGGATCTTAGCTTCCTCAAGAACTACAATCTGCTCTGTCCTTTCTTGTAGGCTGCTTCACTAGCTATGTTTACATGCACAAAATTCTTTGATCAGATTGAAATKTATTCAGATTAAACAATCAGAATGTATCGTTTACATGGGCACAATCTGATCGTGACGAGTGTTTACGTGCACCGGGCTTTTATTCAGAATAGAAGCACTGACGTGCGCAGCTGCTTACTACCAGAAAGGATATCTCCTCCTACAATGATCTATAAAACCATTGAAATACAAAGAATCACAAACATCCCTGGCTTGCAGACAGAAAAAATACGTGCATACCTGTACCATCTGTCCCACTGAAGAGAGTGTTTTCAGCTACTAGACCCCTTTCACTACTGCAATAGGCCCAAATCCTACAACAGTTACTAATGTTCATATTCTTTTTCCTAACATATGCTGAGACTTCCTCTGTCCAGATTGGCATAATAATTGCGTATCTCAGCCAAGCAGCTTTTTTGTCTTTTAGTGACAAATAACAGTTTGTTGTCATGCTGACACTTTCTGAGCTGAATTAATGAGCACTGTTGGAGAAAAAAAGAACCACATTAACACATGTTGGAAGTCATGGCAAAAAGATGAGAGATAGGAAAACCCTTTTTTCAGCAATTTATTATAAAGGAAGAGTCAAACACAACATCAGTGAGGAAACAGATGCAAGCARGAGAATCTATCTACCCAAGTGTGTAAACAAATATTTTCATCTGGCTTTTCAGCGGGGAAGAACAAGGACACCAGTTTTGTCAAAACACTTTAGGAGCAAGATGACCTGACAAACTGGGAACAGATATGCACAGCAAGTCTTTTGTCTTCTCACAAGGTCTATCAGTATTTTATCAGTGAATTTTATTTTACTACAGTAGAAAAAGCAGGAATGGCTGTAACTAAGTTTTCATATGATGTTTGGAGGGGTGGTGGTTTACGTGTTGTGTGTGCAGGAGGTTAATATCTCCTGCTGGCAAAGGGCTGATAATATTTTTTGCCAGTGTGTGTTTGTATTTTAAGCAAAATAACAGTACAGACAAGTGGGTATTGTCATTTCATGTCAGTTTTAAATTACAATAATATTATGCAGAGAAATGACAGAGTTGTAGTTRTTTTGGTCAAAGRTTGAAGGGATTTTTGAGAATGTGAAAAGTGGTGCGGAACATAATGTATCTTTAACAACAACTTTAGTCTCAGGATTGTTATTACTTTTTTTTATTGAAGGATTAATATTATCGGAAGTGGCACGGTGCGTAATGAGGGGCTGAAAGGATTTTCTGGCTCATCAGCCATGGTTTCCAGAAACCAAAATGTGCTTGGAGTTGTGGCAGTCGCTGAAGTGTGACACGGCTAGGAGCTTTACGCTGCCCAGTCATACTCGCACTGGGGTTTCTAGAAACAGTGACATTTTAGAAGGAGCTRGCAGAGAGACTGGGACTGTGCCTGTCGACCCTACGCTAAATCATGCCAGCTGTATGGGATGTATCTGTATTTCAGATGGGTAGGAAAAAAAATGTAACACCAGCTTTGCAGTGAGGTGGCCTAGTATCCAATTCACCCACTGTAATAAACAGTGGGAATAGACTACAAGCTGACAGTGTGGGATGGGTGACACTGTTCTTTTACAGGTTAAACTATAGCTTGAGACAGTTCAACCATCATTAGTACCCATTTTTACAGYAGCTACAGTATGTCATTCAACACATGCCTAAAGTTGGAAATACCTTTACCTCAGCCCTGCAGCACTTGTCAGCAACAACCTCACACACTGTCACTTCTGCACTCTGTACTAAAGCCAGAAGAGAAACATGTCAAACACATTGCTTTTATGTCTCCATTTATTCTAGAAGCAACTATTCTTTCTTGAAGTTCCTAAACACATACAGAACAGATTTGCATCTATTTACTGATTTAAATGGATGAGTGKCAAGGGAAGTGTTTCATGTGCATTTCCTACATCCAGATCAATGTAAAACTAAGAAAACATGATAGGATTTCTGTGTACGCTCTGAATTCTCTCAATTTAGGCATACTCCATGTTCCAATAGAACGTGTATGCACGTCTTTGCACATGAAACCCCTGATGTGTCTTTATTTACAATAATCTAACAAGCTTTGAGAGAAAACTAGGTCCTGTTTTACCAAGTGAAATATTAATAAATAAAAAGTTGCAGGACTTTGTCATTCCCAGCATAGAGGTATTACAATATCTTAATTCAAATGAGGAGCTCACCTTGACTTTTAACAGATATTTTGTCAAATAGATATTTACAGSAGAAAACAAAAGTTTGTGGTTTTGTTTGGACAAGATGTAGCTTTCAGACATGCCAAAGAATCACCATGTCCYGAATGAATAAGAATCCACACCAACATGTTTCAGGTTTCCCGTCATTCAGTACAAGCTTGTCCAATTTTATAAACTTAAAACAAAACAAATTTCATAAAACAGTCACAACCATCTTGGCATCTCATTCCTTTGAGGTATGCAATGCCTTTTGTATACATAGACAAATGTTCTCTAAAAGATTTCTAATTATCAAATCATTTATCTTTCCTTGTGCACTGAACATCCATTTGCACGGTTGTGATGGCAGAGAGAGGTAAGAGCACAACTTTTATTGCAGGTACAAGTCCAGGGCTTCCTGGAAAAACAGTTGAAAGCTACATTTTTATGCGTCACATGTGGGTCCTATCATTTGATTAATTAATGGATTATTTGAAAGAATACTTGATCAAATAAATACCATGAAAACCATATGGTTACAGGCTGGTCTAAATACATCACAGACCAAGAAACCATTCATAAGAAACATGCTTCTTTGTCGGTGCATCATGAAATTTGACTGTATTGCTTTGCTCCTATGATGTTTGATTTTGTTAAGGCTTTTCATMGTTTGATTTCTTGTTGGTCAAAGTTTTAAATTTGATGCATAATGCACATATTGCCTTTGTAAATTTGAGAAAATAGATTAGCCTTTAATGATACATGGTGCAAACTTAAAATGCAGTATACTCAAAATTTCCAACAAACGAAAAATATACTGTATACAAGGTTACAAAGGATATAAAACAATGAAAAGTAGAGATCTGGCTTTTTTGTAATTCAGTACCCCCTCCCCATTCTTACATAATACATAACATAAAGATCATTCCTAAAGGACAAAAAAAACCTGTTAATGCATTTTGTTTTTTTTCAGACAGTTGCAGTCATAATAAGCTGAACAGAAGTTGTGTGCTTTTCACATTTTTTTCAGTGTTATGTAACATWCAACCTTTTTCTGGGTAATTTTTCTTTTTGCAGGGAAAACAGTGTATTTGTCACCAGAGGGCTGCTGCAGCTGCTGAGACAAAAATAACACTRGGCCAACACTTTTCATGCTACTTTATCATTTAGCTACTATAACCCCAAAATCAAAACCTTCTGTGATTTCAGCATCTTTTAATACTTTTACTAAACAGCAAATACCTATATTTCAGGTACAGTATATTCTAAAAGCTCTCTGAAGAAAAAGTTTTCCTAAATGATGATAATAAAGACATTGTCAAGCTGCAGGGTAGGAACATTGGCTAAAGCTTACCATTCTCTCTTTAAATCCAGTGATGTTTTCAACATTTTGCTGATTTTACACTCCATGCACTGGGGAGTTAATCTTTCATTTGTAGGTTAACCCCACTGGGATTTCCACCAGCTAACTCCTGACCCTACCTAGTCCGAATATTTCCACCTAACTGAACGCTAAAACAAATGAAGTCCTGACAATGGATGTACCMGTGCAGCCAAGTGTGCATGCACATGTGCACAAGTGAATGTTAGTGTGTGTAATCATGATAGGGACAATGTCCTGAGCTGAAACCATTTCTATTTCTGGCAATGCCACATTGGTGGGAGACAGACTATATAAAAATAAATAAATAAAGCTAGAAAAATATGGAGGAAAAAAATTGCTAAATTTCTATTGAGCAATTACCAAATGAGAAAATGTATTCTTCGACACTCTAAGTAGTTTTATGAATGAAATGTTCGTCACTTCTCACATTTTATCATACAATCTCATCTTCTAAAAAGGATAACCAAAGCCACATGCATTGGGTTAAAAATGTCTATCTCACTAAGTTTTACCAGACATGAAACAGTAGGCACTTTCACAAAATATTTTAAAGTCATGACTTGGATGCCTTCTGGCTGCCTCAATGTGATTTCTTGGTAGACTGAGGCGGTGAGGAGGTCAAAGCTAACCCACCCCCAACGGGCCTTTGTGCATCAAAGGAAGGTACTCACCAATGGTAGACTAAGTAAGCCACCTTCACATCTTAGACCACTTCATTCAAAATCTTTTTAGAACAAATTGATAAGGCTGAACAGCCCAAAGRGGCCTCCCGCTGTCCTTGTGGTGCGCTAACAAAGCTGGCAAATTRAAGTCATGGCTGTCTCTTCGGGAGCCAGACAGGTCACCCACAAAGACCACCTAACAACCCCACCCTGACGCCACCTTTGCCCCCCAACCACCGCTTAAACAGGTGGGGGTCAGGAGGACACCAGCGCCACACCTAACATGAGTGGGGTCATATTTAACTGCAATGTAGAGCTTAACTCTCTGATACTCTGTGACGTGTAGTGTGGACCTCTTGACCAGGTCACTCTTGTAAAAGAGATCCTGATCTCACTGGGTTTTCCACCTGGTTAAATAAAGGTTGATTAATATGGACCCCACAAAGACAGTGGGAGACAGTGGTTTTGCATTCAACCACAACTGAACCATAACTGGCAATTCTACTTTTGACAGCACTACTTGAAAATAGTAAGATTTTTTTTTTCAATTTTATTTCACAATAAAAAAAAAATCATAAAATAAGAAGAGAAGAATAAAATAAAAACAAGAGAATAGTAGTGTCATAATTATATTACAAAAAAACAGATGTGAAGGASAATTGCCAAAAAACCCTCAAGGGGCTTAACAAGCGGCAATCTCCAAAKATTTTTATGCAGCACCAGGTAAACTCTAAAGTATTACCTAAACAGTTGCCTTTTAAATATTGACCTTAATCTCACACCTTAAGCACAATGTCACTGATACTGATGATCACAAGAAATAGCTAAGCTCCAGTGCCARGTTGGACTAGAAAAAAAAGTATTGAGTGACACCGACAGCAAATGGCTGCATGTTTGTCCCATTTTTTCCATCAGCTACAACACAAGCTGACAGTACCACCGTGACAATGTGCCACTTTTTTAGTCTCCCAACTACCTCCCTGCCCTGTGCTGTCTCTTTATTCCCATCTTCCTCAATGTAAACTGATTCCCAGCTGCCAGAGTCAGGAAGACACGACCACAGTAACTGTTTATTGGCTCAATCGCTCCTTTGGTTGGGCTGAAMTTCTCCACTCTTTACCCCCTTCATCTTTCTCCTTTCAAATGTCACTTACTTCATTTCACACTGTCCTCTGGCAGGACCCTCATCTGTCTTYATCAGTGATGCACGATGAGGTGCAGCCAATGAGAAAAGATGCTGATATTGAAGCAATTTTCAGGCGAGGCTTTGTTGGTCATTTTGTCTGCCTCCAGACAAAATGTTTCTACAGTAATTCTCAATGGCTCAATATTTCTTCATATACATGAGTCATTTTTGTTTGCAGCTGCAGAACATAAAGCAACAAGTAAGGTTTAAAAAAAAAAGGACAGGACAGTTTTTTTTAGTCACCAATAAGTGACTCACCTTTTTTTACATCCTAAAAAAGGGTGCGGTGATTTGGTGTAATTAGGGCTAATTTTGAGCTGCAAGTCAAGTCCCTCTCGATAAATARTAAATTGATTATTTTTTCCTGAAACAGAAAAAAGCCAAAGGATGCAAACGTGTGATTGTGAATCATTCATATATTCAATGACTTTCGGTGAAACTGGTTCAGGGTTTGTTTTACAACATAAAATATTATACAACAAGCAATTCTTCTGTTTCAATAACACACTCAGCTGTTCCATATATTTCAGTTCTGTCCTGCTCCACCTTCTATTATTCCTCAAATTATGAGTTAGTTTATAGAAAAAGGTTAGWCCCATGTCCTTAGAAGTCATTCAAACAAAAAAAGCACCTGAAGCAGCAACAGTTTCAGTCTAAAGCAGACATTCAAAATAGTTATTCTTCATTTAGAAAAACATAATTTTAATTTAAAACAATTTGTAAGTTCAGAGACTAGATAAATAAAACATACTGCAATGCTACTTACAACCCCANTGCAATGCTACTTACAACCCCAATTTCTTCAATATTAGGAGTTTCAGTTAAGCATAAATAAAAATACAAGGCAATAATTTCCAAACGTTGTAAATATACCTTTAATTTAAAACAATATTGTAAGTTCAGAGACTAGATAAATAAAACATACTGCAATGCTACTTACAACCCCAATTTCTTCAATATTAGGAGTTTCAGTTAAGCATAAATAAAAATACAAGGCAATAATTTCCAAACGTTGTAAATCCAGATTTTTATTCACAATGGAACAAATTAAACAATCAAAAACTAAAAATGTACCATTTTTAGGTTAAAAAAGAGGTAGATATCAATTTAATGATTATACTTTATATACAAAAGGCTTTAAAAGAAAGCTGGAATTACTGGGATTTACTTATTGGAAGGTGTCCCAGACTTTTGACCTCATCTAGAAATCAAATTTGGGTCTTCAAATGAAAACAGCTGTATAACATTTGAGTTCAGCTAAATTAACATCCTTAGACAGAAGATAAAAATGAAAACAAGCTGCAAATGTATTTTTGGCTGCTTCTGTTATRTGCAGTATCCTGTTCAAAAATAACATTTCATGATGATAATCCTCACTGTGAAATTATATTACAGCAGTTAAAAGTGGCTTTGCCTCTCCTGGCTCAAAGCCAAATCAGTAAATTTCTGACACAGTCAATGTTTTTTAAGCATGGCCATGCAGCAATATTTTAGAAAGCCCCGTAGCCAAAAGATGGACTGAAATACTAATTACCATGACGACAAGGGGAGAGGCATTTGCATGTGTAAGGTCATGCATTAATAAAGCATGCTCAAACTGAAGGGCCAAGAAAACTGACCTCAAGCTACATCGTGTGTGTGTGTGTGTGTGTGTGTGGTGATTATGTTAATTGCAGATGCTGGAGAGGTGTGCGCGTTAGGGGGAGGTGGCTGTACTCACCAGCAGCGTAGGCAGTCCAGCCACCACAGTGTACAGCAGGATGGGCGGGACGGCGCTCCTGTCCTCAGGTCCCAGGTACGGTTTGGTGTACATGGTGTCATAGCACAAGAATCCCTGCACGTGCACGGTGAAGGTGTCCGTGTACTCAAAGTAGTAGGCCAGCATGATGGTCCCAGCCATGATCACCAGCTGGAAGTACAGCATGATGCAGAACGACAGCAGCAGATATTAGTCAGAACAAACCGGTTCCAGTCTGCACCCCACCCCGGACCCCAGACCCTCCGCTTCTAGCCAGCCTCCTCGTCCTCCGCCTCTACAGCGGGACCGATTAGCGTAGACCGGCTCATCACGGCTCAGCTGCGCGCGACGAGCCGCTTCTTCTCCGCTCAAGAGCGACTGCGACTGAATGGAGCGCGTGCGCCCTTAGCTGTGCGTAATAAATGTTGGGATGGAGAGAGGGTGACGAGAGGAGCGGAGAGGCGAGGACGAGGAAGGCACCCCCCGCCTCCCCTCCCATGCCCGCACACACACAGCTAGAGCATGACAGAAAGCACAGGTGGAAACGTCACATGCGGCTGGATCGTGAGAGGCGCAGAAAATCTGAAACTGTCTGACAAATACAGCCACATTTAAATGCTAAGAATAAATACATTTGAAATATGAAGCATTAAATTGTTTATTATATTGTATTTTGGCTTATTCGTGTACGCAAATAAGTTTTGCCTAAAGTCCTTTCTTATATAAATACAATGCCAGCAGCAGCTCATGAGCATAGCAGGCAATGCCTCCTGAAYTGCTGACTACAATAAGAAAATTAAACTCTTGTAAAATAAACAAAAGCAAAACTAAAATGCATTTAAAGTAGAATTAAAGTGGACAGGGAAAAAGCTTGAATGATATAAAAAAAGGACATTCCACAATCTTGGAGCAGCATCACAAACACTGTCCCCTCTGTGCATCTTAAATGTGTTAACACATACAGTGTATAAGAAATTATTTTCAGCCYTGTATTTTTAACATGCAGATCTAATCCTGAGTATTAATTCTAAGACAAATCATACTTGTTTATGCTCTAACCSCAGGAGAGAGCAAAGTAAAGATGTAAGTAAGCACTAAAGGCAAAGGATGGGATGAGTCTGGAACCAACAATCTGCTGCATTGAACTAACAGCTTGATGCCTTCTGCCGTCCCCTCTAACCTTCCTATGGGGCGAGTGGGACATCAAGAGTATGAACAGTCAACATGGAGTAAATAACATGTTACAAGATGATAAACATCACATGACTACACATGAAAATGTGTGATAATGGGGTCAAACATTCATCTTTGTGCTTTTTAACTGAAAAAAAATTGCACCTTTTTACCTACTCCTCCACTGTCCACTGAATCAGGAATATTTGTCTACTAATACTGTTTTCATCATTAAACCTGCTTGTTATCAACCACACTGAAGGTGAAAGAAAAAAAAACATGTTAAACTTGTGAGAAAATTTATGAAACAAGACTATTTTGAGTTGGAGCACACACATAAAACCATAAACTCAAATATCTAAAACAAAATCAATATTGAACCAACCAGAGCTCTGCTGACAATTATAATTTCATAGATATTGAGCTAAAATCTGGTGTGGTAGTGGCTGAGAGTTATTCCCAACAAGGAATCTGAGAATGAGATTAAGACCATTAAACAAAAGGAAGAGATGGAAAGGGCACTTCTGCTAGAGGGGAAAAAGGGTTCAGCAAGAGACACACAGGGCGGACTGGCCATTGTGGGTACCGGGACTTTTCCTGGTGGGCCGGTGTATCACTGGGCCGGCATAGGCAGTGAGGAAAAAACTCAATATCAGTAGATAGCAATAATGCACCAATTCATTGTTTACCAACCACCAACAATGACCGAAGAAGAAGAAAAGTTTGCTGAAGAAGAAGAAGAACAAGTTAGCCTGGCCCTTGCCTTCCTACACAGCTCCGCTCAATTCTAGTTTCCCTTCACTGCTCCGTCTGGAATTTCTCCCATTAACAAGGATTTCGCTGGCAGATTTTTAGCCGGGCCAATCTGAGAACAGAACGTCGATTTTCTGCGCAGTGTCTGCTTGTGGTTTATTTTACCTGGGCCAATCAGCAAACAGAAGCTTTGAATGACGTTGATGTTCTGCGCAGTGTCTGCTAGTTCTTTTAGCATACGGCAGTGGAGGAAGTGAATGAAGCCAGTCTGTGTTGATAAGGCTTCCAAATTAAAATAAATTTGTCTGACAAAGCAGCAGCTCTCATTCACAGTCGTCTCGTTCGGCTCGGTATATTTCTCCTCTCAGTGGGGTTGTTTACAGCACACGCGATTTCCGGTTAGCTTCTTAGCTTAGCCTCCTTCACAACAACAACACACATGATTCAGCAGAGGCCACGCTTCCTGCAAGAAATTGATTCTCTATGCAGCAAGTCCAGATCCTTGTACGAAGCAAAGTGAAGGACAGGGTCTGGTTTTAACCAGGCTAGGAAGAAGTAGTAAGAAGAATAAAACGAATAATAAAAATAAGAGCAGCAAAAATGGAGAATAAACGTAAGGGAGGAAAACAAAAATTGAGAGAAAAGTAAAAGCATYTACAAGCAAATTCAGCCAAGTGTCAGAAACTGGCATTTATTTTGTGCTGGTGGCTGAGTGATATATTTTGGAGACAGTTACAGAAAGCTACATCATTTAAATCAGTTGTTTACAGAAATGTGACGTTTTGAATTGAACTCTCCTTTGGCTGCCATGGACGCCATCACAGAATTGTTTAGAGTTCTGGGGTTCGGATCAGTTTGAGGAAGCTGTCGACTTCAGGACTGCAAAGAAACAGCTTGCACACATAAATGGTAAGAAGAAAAAGCCTAAACTGTTTTAGTTAGGTGATTTCTTAAAGTCAAAAATAAGGCGAAAATACTGATGGAGAAACATTTTTACACCATTTTGCTGCAACTTTAATACACCAAGAGTACATGCCCAGTTTGACTAATCTGTGTTAACCTAACTTGTATTTTCTCACTTACTGTCATTGACCATGCCACAGATAAAAATGTCAAATGAGGAAGGAGCGATAGATCCTAAAACCACTGATCAAATGGCAACACGAGGTAACTGAACTTGAGCCATTTATTTTTAGTTTTTTTTGTTTGTTTTTTTGCAGTGCACAAGTACTGTAGTACATGTGATATGCAAACAGGCAGACGGAGTTGATTCCATTAGTTAAAGGCACAGTGTGTAGGATTTTGTCAATTCTTTTAGCCAAAATTGAGATAATCACTAATGACAATAATAAAAAATCTTGTCTAATCATTGCAGAAAAAGACCTTGTATTATTATTTTTACCTTTATAAAAAGCTGTTTATATCTCCATGGTTGCGGGTCGCCGCTACAGGCAGCTGCCATCTTGCACTGCCATCTTGTCTACGAAGGCTCATGAAGGACAAACCACGGTGGCGGCGTCAAAAATGGTTTTAGTCGTAATACTATAAATGTAATATTTGTTGTCTGTCAGTGTAGCTGGGATAATTTTACTTATTAAAGCTCATAATCTTACCACTTGAAACATCACTAGCCCTGAAGCTGCTGGGAGACATCGCGGTTGGAATTATCAAAGGTTTTTGACACCTGAGAGACACCGTAGCAACTCCTTTGTGTTTGGAAGTGGGAGGTGGGGGTGGGGGGAAGACCAGGGAGGATGATTCAACCACTCAAGCACTAGATGTCGCTGAAAACAACAAAACCTACACACTGTGCCTTTAATGCCAGAGTTGTAAATAAAGATTTTGCTCAGAACTGAGTCTTCACTGAGGATGACTCTGCTACACCAATCAGATTTATCTCAATATTTCTAGATTGTGCTCAAGCCATTTTATGTTGACTGAGGTGGGTTAGCTTTAGTGGCCATCTTGAATCAGGTTGACTTTTTAAAGTTTCAGTTGTAGATGTACATCCAAGGCATGAAACAAAACTTGCAACCGACCCATATTTATGTGGAAGACAGTTTTATGTCAGTTTGACAGTTTTATGAACAAAACTACTTGTGTTCTAATGAATTTAGGACTGTCCACTTCTGTCATTTGACAAATTATGATTTTGTTGCACATAAAAAAGCTTGTAGGACAAAGTAAGTTACAAGATAAATCCGTTTGTTTCTGAAGATTTTTCATTTTAGTTTAGAATTTTACTACATGATAAATTGTCATTATTAGTGTCTGGTTTAAAAAAATCTTTGTCCATTTGTTCCTTTCACAGATTCCTAACCACAACAAACAAGATCGACTTGATAACGAGGAGGTGGGATCCAGTGTTGGACTTCTGGATGAATCCACCATCTCTGGAAAGAAAACCTTGTGCTGTGACGAGTGCAGGAAGAGTTTCAGACTGTCCAGCCATTTAAAACGTCATCAAATCATCCAATCTGGAGAAAAGCCCCACGACTCTGATGAGTGCGAGAAGAGTTTTAGATTTTCCATCTATTTAAAATGTCATCGATTCAGTCACTCTGGAGAAAAGCCCCACAGCTGCGACGAGTGTGGGAAGAGTTTCGGAACGTTTAATCATTTAAAAGATCTACACATTCACTGTGGAGAAAAGCCATACAGCTGTGATGAGTGTGGGAAGAGTTTCAGAAAGTGCAACCATTTAAAACATCGACTCATGCACTCTCAAGAAAAGACAGCTGCGACAAGTGTGGGAAGCGTTTTTTGAGTCCAGTTGAACTGAAGTATCATCAACTCATCCGCACTGGAGAAAAGCCTCACAGATGTGATGAGTGTGGGAAGAGTTTCAGAACGTACGGCCATTTAAAACGTCATCGACTCATCCATGGTGGAGAAAAGCCTCACAGCTGTGATGAATGTGGGAAGAGTTTTAAGCACTCAAGCAGATTACATCACAGACTTGCCCACTCTATGGAGAAATATGCACAATTAGATTTTTAACAGCATTAGCAACAGACAGTTTAAAGAGCTGATTGCACGATATTGACCTTTTCTGCCATTTTTTAATCAACCAAAAGGTCCCTCCCGAAGATCTAGTTAATAGTTACAAGCGAGTCTGTTTAACATCCTTGTTTTCAAAAAACAAGGCAAATTTAGGAGAACCATGGCGCCTTCTGTTTTAAAACAAATGCAAAAATGTAAAACCTCAAACTGTTAAATACAAGTCATTTGAACAGAACTTAAAG